CCTCCCGAGACCTGCTGGCCACACTTCTCCTGATGCAGCCCAGGACATGGTTGGCTCTCTGGGCTGCCAGCACGCACTGCCGGCTCATGTTGAGCTTCTCGTCCATAAGCACTCCCAAGTCCTTCTCCTCAGGGCTGCTCTCCAGCCATTCTCCACCCAACCTGTTATTTTGCCTGGGGTTGCCACATCCCAGATGCAGGACCCTGCACTTGGCTTGGTTGAACCTCATGCAATTTGCACGGGCCCACCTCTCCAGCCTGTCCAGGTCCCTCTGGATGGCATCCCTTCCCTCCAGCGTGTCAGCTGCGCCACCGAGCTTGGTGTCATCAGCAAACTTGCTGAGGGTGCACTCTATCCCACTGTCCATGTCTCCAACAAAGATGTTGAATAGTACACGTCCCAATACCGACCCCGGTGGAACTGGCTGAGGGGAGACCTTATGGCTGAGGGGAGACCTTATCAATGCCTACAAGTATCTCAAGGGAGGGTTGAAGGATGAGGGAGCCAGACTCTTTTCAGTGGTTCCCAGTGAGAGGACGAGGGGCAACGGGCACAAGTTGGAACAGAAGAGGTTCCACTCAAATATGAGGAGAAACTTCTTCACAGTGAGGGTGCCAGAGCCCTGGAACAGGCTGCCCAGGGAGGTTGTGGAGTCCCCTTCCTTGGAGATTTTCAAGACCCGCCTGGATGCTCCTGAGTAACATGCTCTGACAAGCTCTGGGTGGTCCTGCTTCAGCAGGAGAGTTGGACTAGATGATCTCTATGGTCCCTTCCAACTCTAAAATTCAGTGAAATTCAGTGAAACACCACTCGTTACTGGCCACCACCTGGACATTGAGCCGTTGACTGCCACCCTTTGGGTACGGCCATCCAGAATCGATGCTGTGTGGCTTGAGGGAAGGGTTTCAGGTGGGCAGTTCAACACACTTCCATGGACACAGCATCAGTAGCGTAGGAGTACTGCCAGAGTTAATTAGATTTACAGGAAGAAGCTTTGGAATAAGCCTCCCAACTGCACAGAGAAGTTTGAGTTACCCTCCAAAACGCCAGATAACCTGGAATCTCCTGGCTTCCCTGCCTCCGGGTGTCCCAGCCCAGGAAAGGGGAAAGGGGCTTGTGGAGGAGATGTGCTCACGTTGGAGGTTTTGTAGAAATTAAGAGAAACAACCTTTTCTTTAAATTCCCACCATTAGTTAAATCCTAGACATGCCCAGAAATAAAAACATCCCTTTTTTTCTAGAAGCTTGACCACACAGAGCCTAGGAGAGGAAAAGGGCTTGAGGCACCGCTGTCGGAGGGAAGGGTTTCAGGTGGGCAGTTCAACATGCTTCCATGGAGGCAGCACCAGTAGCGTAGGAGTAGTGCCGGAGTTGATTGGATTTACAGGAAGAAGCTTTGGAAGAAGCCTCCCAACTTCACAGAAAAGTTTGAGTTACCCTCAGAAATGGCAGATATAACCTGGAATCTCCTGGCTTCCCTGCGTCCGGGTGTCCCAGCCCAGGAAAAGGGAAAGGGGCTCATGGAGGAGCTGTCCTCGAGTCGGAGGTTTTGTAGAAATTAAGAGAAACAAACAAAATGTCAGACCTTTAAATTAGAATCATAGAATCGTCTAGGTTGGAAGAGACCCTTGGGATCATCGAGTCCAACCATCTACCCTACTCTACAAAGTCCTCCCCTACACCATGTCCCTTAGCACTGCATCTAAACGGCCCCTAAACACAGCCAGGGATGGGGACTCCACCACCTCCCTGGGCAGCCTGTTAAATCCCACCATTAGTTAAATCGTAGACACGCCCAGAAATAAAACCATCCCTTTTTTCTAGAAGCCTGACCACACAGAGCCCAGGAGAGGAAAAGGGCTGTCACTGGATTGCAGATGATCTTTAGAGGCTTCCATCCCCGAAGAGGTTAAAGCCATTTATTTTATTAAAACAGTCCCCTTGGCAGGGAAATCTCCGTCTCACGTCCCCTCAGCTCAGCCAGCTCCTCGGTGTGGAGCGTCCCTGCTCCAGCAGTGGTGGGGGAGCAGCATCTGAAGGAAAAAATTCAGTATGGAATTATGGCTCCAAAACGATAAGCCTTAAAAGGAGCCCTGGGGACCCCCTGGCTGCCCTCGGCTTCTGCACCAGGAGACTTTCCACGGCTCCTGGCATTTAGCACCTTGCCTGGTGGCACCTTAGGGTGCCCCCCAGGCCAGAGCCACCCACCCAGAGCGCAGGGCTCTCAGCAGCCTCCCCTCCATCAGAGCAGGGAGCCATGACCACCAATGTGTGTGTGTGTGTGCCTGCTTCGGCTTTTTGGCCACTGAAGGGCTCCTCAGGTTGCCCTTGGGGACCTTCTCAGGATGTTATCCCAGCAGTCCATCCCCCCCTCCCCTGCTGAAGGGTTTTTGAGGGGGTTCCTGCTCTGCTGTGACGTGGGGGTCCATGTTAAAGACAAGCACCAAAGGACATCCCTGCCGGCTGCTCGCGTGGCGTTCAGTCACCCAACGCAGGGCTCGTCTCCTTGGATTGATCCAGATTTCTTGATCCAAAAATTTGCATCCCAAGCCCTCCCCTCCTCCTCTCAGTTTGGACACAAGCTCTTGATGGTAGAAGCATAGAATTGCCTGGGTTGGGAGGGACCTTCCAGGTCATCGAGTCCAACCATCAACCCAACATTGACAAAACCCATCACTAACCCATGTCTCTAAGCACTATGGCTGCCCGGCTTTGAAATACCTCCAGGGATGGTGACTCCACCACTGCCCTGGGCAGCCCATTCCAATGTGCAATAACCCTTTCCATGTCAAAATTGTTCCTAATCTCCAATCTGACCCTCCCCTGATGCAACTTGAGGCCGTTTCCTCTTGTCCCATGGCCTGTTCCTTGGGAGAAGAGACCGACCTCCCCTGGAGAGAGCGAGAAGGTCTCCCCTCAGCCTCCTTTTCTCCAGGCTGAACACCCCCAGCTCCCTCAGCCTCTCCTCATAAAATTTGTGCTCCAGACCCCTCACCAGCTCCGTTGTCCTTTTCTGGACCCCCTCCAGCCCCTCAATGCCTTTTTTGTGGTGAGGGGTCCAACACTGGACACAGCCCTTGAGGTGGGGCCTCACCAGCTCCCAGTACAGGGGGACAGCGTGTTCAGCTGACAGGCGACCAACACCCCACCCATCACAGAATCACTCAGGTTGGAAGAGACCCTTAGGATCATTGAGTCCAACCATCTCCCCTACTCTACAAAGTTCTCCCCTACACCATAACCCCCAACACCACATCTAAACGTCCCTTAAACACATCCAGGGATGGTGACTCAACCACCTCCCTGGGCAGCCATGAAGATGCTCAGAGGGCTGGAGCCCCTCTGTTTTGAGGACAGGCTGAGAGTCATCACTCTTACTCCCACTCTATGTCTCCCTTACACCAGGCTCCTTACTTTGCCTCCTACACATTCCCAAACACACAAGTTACACCCATGAACAGCCCCCTCATCCTCCAAAGACCACCAGCAGACCCTGATGCCCACCTTCCCACCCGTGGGCTCCCTGTGCCCCAGCACTTACACTGACAACCAGCTCCAGCACCAGGGGACGAGGGAATCCCAGTCAGGGCACCAGGCGCTGTCATGGAAATAATCCAAATCACAGTTTAGCTCAGAGCAGCAGCAGCAGTTTATTGCTGTGGCTGTAGGAGAGGACAGAGGGGAAAACTTCTGCTGGTGTGGAGCATGGAAAAAAAAAATGGGAAAACACACATTAAAGCCATTCAACTTTCCTTTTTGAGCATGAGCTGTATCGCAGGGAGCTGGATGAATTGCTCTGGGCACGTTGGCCATGGGTCCTTCCAGCCTCCTGAGCAGCTGGAGGACAATTCACACGGAGTGAGGAAGTGAACCATGGCCTGAAACTGGGGTGGGAGAGACATTTTTGGTGCAACAATAATTTTGGAGCAACAGGCGAGTCTCCCCACCCCACCTGCACTCCAGGGGAGACCCCCACAGGGAGCTCTGTGTCCAGCTTTGGACCTCCCAACATAAGAAAGACATGGACCTGTTGGAATGGGTCCAGAGGAGGCCATGAAGATGCTACGAGGGCTGGAGCCCCTCTGCTGTGAGGACAGGCTGAGAGAGTTGGGGGTGTTCAGCCTGGAGAAGAGAAGGCTCCGGGGAGACCTTAGAGCCTCTTCCAGTCCCTAAAGGGGCTCCAGGAGAGATGGGGAGGGACTCTGGATCAGGGAGGGGAGCCATAGGAGGAGGAGAAACCATTTTAAACTGAAAGAGGGGAAATTGAGATGAGATCTCAGGAAGAAATTCTTTGCTGTGAGGGTGGTGAGACCCTGGAAGAGGTTGCCCAGAGAAGCTGTGGCTGCCCCATCCCTGGAGGGGTTCAAGGCCAGGCTGGATGGGGCTTGGAGCAACCTGGTCTGGTGGGAGGTGTCCCTGCCCAGGGCAGGGGGGTTGGAACTGCATGATCTTTAAGGTCCCTCCCAACCCAAACCATCCTATGACTCTATAAAAGGCAGTGTCACTTTTTGTCACGATGACAAGTCAGTAGAACTTGTCTCTATGTCACATGCTCTAGTCTCTGCCAACGAAGCTTGATCCAGAAAGCAAAAAGTTCAGCTAAAACTGTTGTCAAGAACTTTCATTTCCCCTTAATATTAATAAATTCTAAGGGGATAATCGTGCCTAAAGGCAAGGTTCCAATAAGAAACATTTTCCCTCTTACTGCATACACAGATGTCTTCTCTACTTGTTTCTCACCTCACTTTGGGAAGAACCTTCCTCCCTCCTTGCTCTCCTTACCGTGGCAGTATGTCCCTCATATCCAAGGATCACCCCCATTTTGCCAAAGCCAAGAGAACCGCAGGGTAAGGCTTGTTTTGGTGGCAATGGCAAAGGTTAACAGCATTTGGAGGTCTTTAAAATAATTTTAGCTTCTACATTTTTTAATATAAATAGCTTTTTCTTCCTCTTTCATTTCCCAGAGAGAGCAGCAGATCATTCTGATGGGCAGGCATTCTTGTAGCTGCTTTTGGTTTTGTTTCTTTTCTTCCTCTTTTATTTCCCAGAGAGAGCAGCAGATCATTCTGATGGGCAGGCATTCTTGTAGCTGCTCTTGGTTTTGTTTTTAAGTTGACCAAGAAAGTCCTCATAATGAACTGCTTAAACATTTTCCAGTTAATATAGCACTAGAAAGGTAAAAGGATTTGAGAGTAACAACCAGCTGGAATATACAAAAGCCTGGAATATACAAAATACACAAAACCTGCTCTTTTTAAAAGCTGCTGACTGACCTACTCTCTGCTGCTCCATCTTACACCCTTCCATGAAGAAATGAAGACACAACAGAAACACCTTGAAATCTCTAAAGCCATGTAAAACCCGAAGGCATTAAAATTTATTAAATGATGCAATAACAACAGAATTCTTTATTTACAATAGCATTATTTAACATCAAATAAGCAAATAGCATCGGCAAAGCAATATTAACTTGCATAAATGTATTTAAAATTTTTCTCTGAATATATCTACCTTTGCATAAACTGCTCACACTAGAAATACAAACATCGATGCAGGTGAACAAAGTGATGTTCAGAGTCAACTCCATTTTGAAAATAAATCACAACCTGAAACACTGTAAGCTTTCTCCTGAAGAACCATAGTTTATATATTGCTTAATTTTACCCTTGTAATAATCTTTTTCATATACACACATCTCAGATGCAACTTCATGATGAACTGTACAAATAAAACCCACAAATGACATAAAAGGGAAAAAAAAAAAAATTAAATGACAGTAAATGTTTGAAGAAACGTGTCCATCATCTCTATTGAACAACATAAAGATTAAGTGATGACGCACTTATTCCAAAATTGTACACAATTCACTATACAAATATAATACATCAGACAGCTATGTAGGAATATACAAGACTTAAAAACAGATCTAAGGCATTATGCTAGATTTTAGCATTTTGAGGTTCTTGCACATAGCTTTTACCTGTAGTAAGAAACTTAAAAGATTTTTTTTTTTTTTGTTTTAGTCTACAAAGAAACACCAGGGAGAAAAGTCTAATTAAAATCAAAGCCACTACAGTAAATTTTCTTTTGTGCAGAGAATGCTTTTGCTCTTAGGCAGCATACTACCATACAAATACTAGAAAACTTTTAAATTCACACCAACAATTAATGGCTTAAGTTGCATTTCAAAACTGATTGTGTATCTTTGGGTTCTGCAAGTGGAGCTGTGCCACCCATTTCATCTGTTAAGCCCATAGGAATTCCGCATTTTTAAACAAAGATTAAAAAAATGCATCGTATAAACTGCAAAAACATTGCTTTTCATGAATCCAGGCCCGAAGGGATACCGGTGTGGGACGAGATTTTAAAGATCCGAGTACAAATTAATTCATCATAGCAAAAAAACAGCTCACTTCACTTTTTTAACCTTACCACATGACATGAACACTTACAGAGGTCGCGCGACCGCGTAGAGAACGCTTATTTTTTTTTCACATTATGCGCCTTTTTTCACATTTAGTAATGTTAAGTCGAACACTGATTCATTGTTCTGTTAAACAAAACCCAAGTACTTTTCGCCGACAAATTTACCGTATACAGGATGAAAAATACTGATAATGAAGGGAATCGATTTGGCTTTTTTTTGTTGTTTTTGTTGTTTGTTTGTTTGTTTCTATAGTGATCAATATGATCAGAAGATTCCTTCACTCACTTTTCTCTTTCCTTAATTAGAAGACGACTAAAGTTCACGATAAACCCAAGCGGAGCCAAAGTGATAGGTACAATCTCCTTTTCTGTCCAAATGGCAAGGGATGAAAGAAATATCATTGTAATGACCAGAGATGATAAGGGTTGTTTGCAGGTCTGTCACGGAACGGGACAAATTTAAAGTATTTTGTCCACTGTGACCAAGAATAATCTGTCTGCGGAGGTTACGGTTAACCATCAGAAAAAATAATGGAATAGGAACAAAATTAATTTCGAAACTCATTTTACATGAGCGGTGCATAAATTCCTTCAAATTTATGCATTCCTTGTACAAATAATTTCATTTTTGTCAGATATATAATGCAAGTTCAAGACGAATGGGGTCGTAGCCACCAGGCTGTGGAGCTCGGGGCTGATGGCTATTTTGGTTTTCCACCAGCAGGTAAGAGGATGGCTCAGCCCCCGGAATATTCCGTCTCAGTTTGGGAGCCAAAGGGTGACAGTTGGAAAAATGTTGTTTCTCCAGAACGGTGTCACCACCCTCCCTTGGGGACAAACTCAACTGTGCATTTCATCGAAAGCCAGCTACAGAGACAGCCTGTTTCTAACCACCTGTATCGTATCTTCCTCAGCCTTCATACAGAACAGATGCTACTTGATTTGAATTCCCTCCAGAAAATTAAATGGTAACAGAATAAACCTTTCGCCCCCCAAAGCCTGGCTGATGAGATGTTATAAAATGCACCACGACATCAATAAATTTGAGTTTGGGTTAGAAAGACAGCGGAAAGAAAACAAGAGGTCAAACCCATCCATCTCTTAATATTTCAAGTCCTCAGAAACCGATGTCAGTTTAGTAAAAGATTATTCCAACCGCAGTGGGCAAGAAAACAAAAATACCCCCAAACAGTGGCCTGCTTAGTAAGAGTTAAGTTTTTTTCTAAGATTTGTTACGAAAGGATATAAAGATACAAAAATCAAGAATTGGTTCCTACAGTGGCTGCATATAATCTAGGTTAGTTCAATGACATTATGAGCAGAATCACAAGGTTTAGAAAATGAGAAGTCTCAAGCCTACAAATTAGGTCTAATCAAGGCATTGTGATCCTTTACAAAACACTTTCCCAGGAGACACACACGGCTAAGAAGATATCTAATTTAATACTGAAGTACCTCATTTGGAATCAACTTCACAACATGTATATCTCACAAAAATTATACAAGTAAAACACTTAAGTTCTCAACTTAAATTATTGCTTGTTTACATAGAAACTGGGTTTTATGTACCTTACAAAAACGTCCTCGTAGTCCACACTGCTTCAAAATAATCCGAAACACACGATAGTGGTGAAGTCTGTAGTGAAATCTGCTACAGGGATTAGAGCAATTGGTATTTTTCCCAGCCAAGGGGATGGAAACCAGAAATGCTCATGCTTTAAAACAGCAGGTTTTTTTTCGAGCTCTTTGATATTATGCACCAATTCTGCCACTACCAAAACCAGTACATGCCATTACCATCCAACTTTGCCGTTGGGCTGTCCAGATTGCTGGAAACACACCGAGAGAAATAAAGGGGTAACTTGCTTTTTTTTTTTTTTTTTTTCTTTTTTTTTTTTTTAAATTCTATTAGAAAGAAGAGAAAGATGCCAGAGGTCAGGAGAGCCAGGTGAAAATAATAAAAATAAAAATAAAAATCAGGATTCGCTGATTGTTAGGAATTTAATTAAATAAGAATGTCACCAACGTGTATTTTTGGATTCATGACTTGCATTATCAACATCACCACCAAAGCCAACCGAAACGCCCCCTTTACAAACAGCCCTCTCACCAGGTTGGGGGGTTTTCAGCCGTTTTTACAACTTTAACCCCGTTCGGAATTGGTCTGTGTCGTTTTCTGCATCGGTTTCATCTCCTCTGACTCCTCAGCGGAACGTGCTCCTTGGAGGTCTCTCTAGGGACCAGGCGTTGCTTCTACACCCTCTTCCACGCCTTCTCTCCGCCCCAAAATGCAGGCCTTCAGTCTAAAACGCCGGTTTTCAGACGGAACTGAATCCTTTGCACCAGAACTGAATAAGCCAGGGAAATAAAAGCAGGAAAAAAAAAAAAAAAACAACAAAAAAAAACCAACCCAAAAAAACCAAAACCCCAAGGTCTAGAACTACAAACGGAAACAGAACGAGAGCGACGGTGGTTGTTTTGTTTTTTTTGTTTTCTCTTTTCCTTAAATACATACATTTAAATACATTCAATCTGACATGGTTTTATGAAAATTGCCTGTCAACATTTACTTCGCAAGGAGAGATCTAAGTTGCACTAAGGTGAATGCAGTGAACAGACTGAGCGACTGTCTGTAGGCGAGGCTTCAGACTGTCAAAGAAGAGGCCGCTCTTCGGGCAAACAACGGCAGCCCCCGGCTCCCCTTTGGGGCAGGAAGGCCGGGCTGAGTCCCGGCGGCAGCAGGTAGCCACCGGCGGCAGCAGGTAGCCACCATCGGCAGCAGGTAGCCACCGGCGGCAGCTCAGCTGGGTCAGGCCAAACAAGACGCAGCTCTTCAAACCGGGAAGGATTTGGGGCCGTTTTAAAGCCCGGTCAGCTGAAGAAAGGAGCAACCGAACCACCCGGCAGGGTCAGCAATATTTCTGCAAAAAAAAAAAATAAGGAGAAACGGGGAGAAAAACCCAGTGAGTTCTTCCTTCTGCGACAGTGAAGACGGACAGAGGCGAAGGAGAGTCAGACGCTGGACGGCAGCGTCCACCATCGACCATACACTGGTGTATTACTGTAAACCTGGAAATTAATTTGAATTTATAAAGCCAGACTTTTCTCTGTGCACACTGCGATTTAATTCCGGTGGTATCAGTGGGGGTTTAATTGCACTGCATACTCAGGTCCTCAACTAATTCTAATTATCATGGATATTGTAACAACTCGGGGTCATCTGCCTCTCACAGAACTCCAGTTCTAAACCACAAAAATATGGTTTAAGAGAAGTCTCATACTCACAGTATGTACAAAACCTCCCTGTGTTACTGCTGTAACTGTTTCAAAGGAAACTACTGTCTTGGTTCACTTTGCCCTCCAAGAATGGTAATAAAAAAGGGGAATAAAAAAGTAAAAAAAAGTTTCAGCTACCGATTCCTAGGGAAGTTCTTTACCTCATACTTACTAGAATCACCCAGTCATAGAATCACTCAGGTTGGAAAAGAGCTTTAGGATCATCAAGTCCAACCATCTCCTCTACAAAGTTCTCCCCTACACCATATCCCCCAACACCCCATCTAAATGACTCTTAAAACTCATCCAAGGATGGTGACTCAACCACCTCCTTGGGCAGCCTATTCCAATGTCTGACCACTCCTTCTGTGAAGAAGTTTTTCCTCATGTCCAGTCTAAACCTACCCTGTTGCAGCTTGAAGCCGTTCCCTCTTGTTCTGTCACTAATTACCTGTGAGAAGAGACCAGCACCAACCTCTCTACAATGTCCTTTCAAGTAGTTGTAGAGAGTGATGAGGTCTCCCCTCAACCTCCTCTTCCTCAAACTAAACAGTCCCAGCTCCCTCAGTCGCTCTTCATCAGATTTATTCTCCAGGCTCCTTCCAGCATCTTAAAATAGAATATTCTAATAGAATATAACACAAATAGAACACAAACTGGCTTCAGCTGAGTAGATTATTTTGTACTTTCTTATTTAAAACACCCTCAGGATGTGGGTTTGACAGTTGTTTTAAGACTGTCCCTCTCCGCCTTCCTCCCCTCGCAAGCTCCTGCTCCCATGGGCAATGGTGGTCAGTCAGGTCAGAGCTGATCCAGCCAAAACCCATTTTTCTCCTCCCCTGAGGGTTGCTTCTCACTGGCATCCTCCAGCTCCTTGCTCGCAGCCTCCTACTGTGTACGAGCAAGGCCCCGTTAGCTCTGGGACTGGTCCATGCACACGCTGCCACGCTGCCTTCTGGAAGCTGCCTACACCACGTTTGGACTCTACCACACTTTCCTCTGCCACCACAGCAGGCCTAGAAATGTATCTCTATTGTCAAATAGAGTCAGCAGCAAGAAGCATCCCATCATTCCAAAAGCAGCGTGGCCAGCAGGGCCAAGGCGGGGATTCTGCCCCTCTGCTCCGCTCTGGAGAGACCCAACCTAGAGCTCTGTGTCCAGCTCTGGAGTCCTCAGCACAGGAAGGACATGGACCTGTTGGGATGGGTCCAGAGGAGGCCACAAAGCTACTCAGAGGGCTGGAGCCCCTCTGCTGTGTGCAAGAGTAGAACAGTTATCTGAAAACCCCCAAATTTCACTGACTCTAAGATTATTGCTCTTCTGTATTCAGTTACACTGGACATCCCTCAAAAAACTCAGCTACCAACAGTATTCTTCAGACATTTACTTGTGAAAAGGAGCAGGTTCAAATTTTTCCTTTACCATGTGAAATTAGTTAATACAAATTTGTTCCAATAATGGCAAAAGGATACGTCAAACTATTTTCAGGTGTACAAATGAAGGGTACTTAGTGCCTTGAAAGAGAGAGAAAAATTCTCTGTCCTCTAATTCCCTTAAAAACAGCTTCTCTGTTAAACATTAGTATCATCCTTGCAAGCTTTGCATCGTTAGTATCATCCTTGCATCATTCCAATTTCTTTTCTCAACCAGTAGGAAACTTTAAATTTTTTGCTGTTGGATTTGGCACAAGAGGGAAATTCGTTTGTTTAATTCCATCTTTTCTGGCATCAACACCACAGAGAGGGCAGCGGGAGGGAACCAAGGCCCGAGGGTCACGGGCCTCAAGCTGGGAATGACACGACTCCTGCGGGAGTAGCGGCTGGGATCTGCCCCTTCTCACTGCGACCCGCAGCTCGGGGCGATTTAAAGCCTTAATTTGATTTAAAGCCTTGATTTAAAGCCCTTCCCGGCGCCTCCTCTTGCCCGGGGGTGCCGGGAAGGAGCGGGCGGCGGCCGCTAGATGGCGCTTCCCGCGCGCGGCACCGGCCCTACGTCTCCGGTGACGTCATAACGGACGCACCGATCTCTGTGAGGCGGCGCAGAGTTGGGGGGGGCGGGTCAGCGCCTCAGGTTTTTGGGTGGGCGCCGGGTCTGAACCCCAGGGTTTGGTGGCACAAAGTTATTTAAAATGAAGATTATTTTCATTAAAAAAAAACAAAACCCACAAAATAACAACAAAAAAAATCCCCTCGGCTGAGGAAGGGCACGTAAAAACCCACCTCATTTCCTCAGCTGCGCCCCAAGACCTCCACAACCTCTTTCCTTTAGCACTCTTACTGTCCGGAATATAAATTGTTTTTTTTTTTTAACCTAATCCAACGCTAATTACCCCGTGGGTTGGAAATTTGTGTGGAAATGAGTCCTACCGCTCAGCTCGGGAGAAGCGCTTGGGAGAAGCAATAAATTAAATAATTCATGAGTTTTTGGCCCTAAGTATAATGCAAGGAGAAGCGGAGAAAACAGGATGAGACACGAAATGGGTTAAACGTGCAGCAAGAGTAAATATAAATCAACGTTAAAGTCTTTCCCATCATCAGCAAATCGTCGTGTAATTGCTCTGTAAAAAGCAAATACCACCGTATTGTTAATTCAATAATGTCTTTGTGTCGATGTAAATGGATTCTGCGTTACTCACTGCAGTAACGCTGCTGGGACCTAAACATGGAACTTCATAGAGGTGTCACCAAAAGGGGAATTGAAAAAAATCAATTGCACAAAACTTAATTACTGGGTACTTTTAAACTTTGTAAGTAAAAAGATAACTATATTCCGAGTTCGGTTGCCTCTGTAGGCCTATGTATGTCATTTCTCACCCGTGTTGCATCTCCGTCCTGCTTTATCATATCCATTCCAGGCAGCTGGTTTGGAAAAAGATTGCCTCCCCTCATAGCAGGATCATTAACCTGTTGGTAACGAGACACGAAGGAGAATGAATTACAAAAAAACCCACAAAAACATTGGGAAGAGGGCTGGGAATTAAAAAAGAAGCGTTAGAAACCCCGCCCTGGTGCTACTTGGATGTGCCAGCGCTGGGTTTGGATGCCACCCTGCAGTTGGGGAAGCGATGATACAGCTCAGCACCCTTCTCCTGCGACACCTCTTATCCTGCTTCACAGCCAAGCAACAAAGATCTCGTATTTTACACAAACAGGCAACATTAATTAGGTCAGTATTACTGGGAGAGGACACGCCTGAAACCAGAAACGCTCAACTGCTCTCCTGACCTCCGTAAGGCACCGCTTTTCTGCTTGCAGACCACCACGCGAGGTGTCTTCTCAAAGCCCGATGAGGTAACACGTAGGCCGAATTATACCAACCACTGACTTAAGTTTTAATGACACTTATTTTTTCTGCTGGTAAGGAAAATGGAGAAAGAGAGCACCGAAGAGGAAATCCTGCAGCTGCATGCTCTCCTGGAGGGATGCTCTCAACGCTTTGGAGAATGCAGCCAGGGGAGAGGACCGAGGCTGCGTGTTCCTGAACCAAAGGGTCTGTCAAGCCCAGTTTCGGGGAAAGAGAGGCTTGCCAGATCTGCAGCACCGCTTTCTAAATCAAAGGATTAATCTCCCCTCAATTCTCTCTCCTCTCTCAATTAAGGATTAATTGACCCCACCTGGAGCACTGTGTCCAGCTTTGGAGTCCTCAGCACAGGAAGGACATGGACCTATTGGAACGGGTCCAGAGGATGCCACAAAGATGCTCCGAGGGCTGGAGCCCCTCTGCTGTGAGGACAGGCTGAGGGAGTTGGGGGGGTTCATTCTGGAGAAGAGAAGGCTCCAGGGAGACCTTAGAGCCCCTTCCAGTCCCTAAAGGGGCTCCAGGAGAGATGGGGAGGGACTCTGGATCAGGGAGGGGAGCCATAGGACGAGGGGGAACAGTTTTAAACTGAAAGAGGGGAGATTGAGATGAGATCTCAGGAAGAAATTCTTTGCTGTGAGGGTGGTGAGACACTGGAAGAGGTTGTCCAGAGAAGCTGTGGCTGCCCCATCCCTGGAGGGATTCAAGGCCAGGCTGGAGGGGGCCTTGAGCAACCTGCTCTAGTGGAGGTGTCCCTGCCCAGGGCAGGGGGGTTGGAACTGGATGATCTTTGAGGTCCCTTCCAACCAAAACCATTCTATGATTCTATGATTCTGTGATTTGATCCCTCAAGTACATAAAAGAGTCTCTAAGCATTACAAATAGCAAGCAGAGGGAAAACCACAAGATTTGGGGCAAAATCTTCATTTTCTACTTGGTGATGCCGAGAGCCTAGGCAGTGAGCGAGAGAAGCTGGAGATCACAGAATCATAGAATGGTTTGGGTTGGAAGGGACCTTAAAGATCATTGAGTTCCAACCCCCTGCCCTGGGCGGGGACACCTCCCACCAGACCAGGTTGCTCAACCTGATGTGATACACCAATATGAGCAGATAAACACCAAACTTTGTATTTTTGAGCTCTGGCTATGTGTCTGTGACACAGTATAACGCCACCAAGAGAGACAGGAGACAGAGCCAAAGCAACCTGTTTGGTACCAAAACTCATATACTTGCTTCTTGCCAGGTAAATAAGCCCAGGCACAGCTTTTTACTAATAAGTAATAGACATTACTTCCAAACCCATCCAATAACATATGAAATGTTAAGGGTTTTTTTGGTGTTTTTTTGTTGTGTTTTGTTTTTAAAGCTGGAACACATTGGCAGTAGAACCACTGTTACTCACTGTGGTTAGAAAAGATGAACGTGTGAAGTTAAAATTACGTATTACAGAGCAAAAAACCAGCAATGAATAAGTAAGTAAAAGTGTAGGTGACAGTTATAAAAAAAAGCCAAAAAGGACGAATGAAACGGCAACAGTCAGCAGAATTGAGGCAAATACAGTCATTTTGAAAACCACCAGCTACAAGAAAAAGTTTAGCACAGCCTGGGTCAGTTGCTAAATAAAGGTGCCAAATTGTAAAACGCTATGGCCTGAACACAGAAGAAAACCCCTAATTTTAGTATTAATAGAAACATTTGTATTTATTCCTGTCTCGTGGAGAAGACCACGTGGAACAGCACGGCAAACATTTCTGAGGACTAAAAAACCCAGAAATGGTCCCTCAGTTGCCAACTGGCCACCCCTGACCCAGAAGAAGCATTTGCTTGCAGGGTTTGCAGAGGGTACAGTGCTGGGGTGGTACCTCAGGAGGAAAATAGGCTACTGCTACAGAATGAGCCACGGGACTTCAGGAAGGTAATAGATGTGGGGTCAAAGAAGGCAGGTTTCATCTATGTAGAATGTGCTGAGGAGGGTTTGGGGATCGTCCTAAGGGTTTTAGTATGTGCTCTCCAGTGACATGGTCACCAGCAGAGGCAAGAAAGAGAAACACCAAGCAGAACTTGACTCTGCACAGCTTTGGTGCAGCCACTGCTAAATCACTGTCTCCAGTTACTCTCTTCATACCTCTAGAAGGGAAGTTACAACGGAACTAAGTGGATCCACAGAAGGGACCGATGGGATGAAAAGAGCAACAAAGCTGGTGAGGGGTCTGGAGCACAAGTCTTGTGAGGAGAGGCTGAGGGAGCTGGGGTTATTCAGCCTGGAGAAGAGGAGGCTGAGGGGAGACCTTCTCGCTCTCTCCAACTCCCTGAAAGGAGGGTGTAGAGAGGTGGGGGTCGGTCTCTTCTCCCAAGTCACAGGCGACAGGACAAGAGGAAATGGCCTCAAGTTGTGCCAGGGGAGGTTCAGGCTGGGTATTAGGAAAAATTTTTTCACTGAAAGGGTTCTGGAATGGGCTGCCCAGGGAGGTGGTTGAGGCACCATCCCTGGAGGTGTTCAAAAGACGGGTTGATGCAGTGCTGGGAGGTATGGTTTAATGGTGATGCTTCTTGTTTGTTGTGTGGGTGTCTATTTTTGTCAGTTAGGTTGACGGTTGGACAAGATGATCTTTAAGGTCCCTTCCAACCTAGAAGATTCTGTGATTCTGTGAAAACCAATTGTTGAGTTGGATAAAGACCCTCAGACCATTCATCTTACTGGAAGCTGGATAAACTCTATCTTGAAATAAGATCTTGTAGTCTACCAGGAAGGAACTGCAGTCAGACAACTGTGCTAGTGGAAACAGCAGTCTGCATGGAAATATTAGAAATAAACCCAGATCTCTTTCTATAATGCACGTTTCTCACTTCAGGTACCTGGGGAAAATTTTGTAGCGTGGTGGGCGTGCTGAGAAATCAGACTGGGCTGTCGCCTTCAAACCCCCACTATTTCTTTTTTTGGTTTTACTACTGTTTTACTACATTAAATGTGTGCACTTGGGAACTAATAATATTAATTAAAAAATCTGCTATAGTTGGGCCCAGCAACTGGGAATATCAGAGAAGGTGACAAATTTGGGAGTATCAAAATGACTTCAGGTCCCCAGTATGTGGCAGCTGTGAAAGACAAATGTGATCTGGGGCTATATCTGTCAGAGTGTTCCAAAAGAAAAGGGGAAGAACTAGTGCTGTGTACACAGCTCTGGTGCTCAGGAAATACTGATTGGAACTGGAACAGGTGCAGAAAAGGAATTTAAAGCCTGCAAGAAGAGACTGAAACACTGTGGCTTGTTTAAACTTACAAGAAAAATCCCAGGAAATCCAAAACAAAAACAATCCAACAACCTCAAAACAAAATAAAAGCCAACAACCTCAAAACAAGAAAAAAATCATCTTGACAGAACGACTCTTTCTAAAATACAAGAAGAGAAAAGAGCTGTTTAAGCTGAAGGACAACAGTAGAAAAGTAAATACTCTGTTATCAAATTTAGACTGGAAAAAGGACATATATTAACAGGCCAGTAACAAAACCAGCTTTAAACTGGAACATTGTGGTGTCAGAAAAAAGGTTTCTGATCCTGTCCACCATAAAGCAGGAGACGCTGCCTGAAGACAGAGATAAGAACCCAACAGAGCCAGGACCCAACAACAGAAGAGGTACTTTCCTGCCCATATTTCTAAGAAAAGTCCATAATTTCTAGTCTGTGTGTTGAACAAATGGGAGTTCAGCTCTGAAACAAACATACGGACCTGTTAATTAAGAGAACTTGCTTGTCAAAGACTTTCTAATTAATTAACACTACCATGTGAGTTTAGCTGTTAGTTTCGACAACAGAAATGTTATTTTTTCTTATTTCAGATACTCAAAAGTAACAGTCACAAATAAAATCGAGTGTGTAAACCTCAAAACCTCGGTCACCTTGGTTATCTGAGTGCAGAGCTAAAAACAAAGCCTTCGTAAAAATCGAGTGTGTAAACCTCAAAACCTCGGTCACCTTGGTTATCTGAGTGCAGAGCTAAAAACAAAGCCTTTGTAACATCATCATCATCATCATTTCTCAAGCAAACCAGTAAAAGAAACATAATGGTTTCCAGCAGTTACAGCCCAATGCAGCGGATCCGAAAAACTACTGCAAGAAAATCCTCTTGGTTGTCATCTCAAGCCCCTTAAATTCTCACCTGCTCAGGACCCATGGAGGACAACCCTGATGTAGGCACAGAGGTCGCTGAGGTCATGCTGATCTGCCCTGTCATCTGGTTCATGTTGTTCATACCACTTGTGTTGGTTGCCATGGATACACTGATGTTCATGTTATTATTGTACATGCTGGTGCTTGCTTGCTGCCCAAAATGTGGTGGGGACTGTTGTGAAAACATGCTACAGCAAGGAATGGAAAAAGCAATGTGTCAGAATGCTGAAGCCACTAAGAAACTACTCTCTTTTTCATACATCTTAAGCTAGAATTTGCATAGACCGTCATTTATGCCAACATCAAAAGAAAAACTGCTTTTCAGCTCTATTAATGTCGAAGGAATAGTTTTTAAAAAGGGAAGGTCATTTCTGGAGGGAAAGGAAAACAGCATTTTCCCCCTCCAGCATCAGCACAGCTCAGGACCTTCAAACTGAAACGGGCTCTGGTCTAATGAGCTTTGTTTTTGCAGAAGAGGCCGTTTGCACAGACGAATTACCAGATTTGCACCTACAGTTATGGTTGTCATCTCAAGCCCCTTAAATTCTCACCTGCTCAGGACCCATGGAGGACAACCCTGATGTAGGCACAGAGGTCGCTGAGGTCATGCTGATCTGCCCTGTCATCTGGTTCATGTTGTTCATACCACTTGTGTTGGTTGCCATGGATACACTGATGTTCATGTTATTATTGTACATGCTGGTGCTTGCTTGCTGCCCAAAATGTGGTGGGGACTGTTGTGAAAACATGCTACAGCAAGGAATGGAAAAAGCAATGTGTCAGAATGCTGAAGCCACTAAGAAACTACTCTCTTTTTCATACATCTTAAGCTAGAATTTGCATAGACCGTCATTTATGCCAACATCAAAAGAAAAACTGCTTTTCAGCTCTATTAATGTCGAAGGAATAGTTTTTAAAAAAGGGAAGGTCATTTCTGGAGGGAAAGGAAAACAGCATTTTCCCCCTCCAGCATCAGCACAGCTCAGGACCTTCAAACTGAAACGGGGTCTGGCCTAATGAGCTTTGTTTTTGCAGCAGAGGCCATTTGCACAGACAAACACCAGATTTGCACCTACAGTTATGGCAAGTGGGCTCACAAATAGAGACATGCAATTGTGCAGAAATTCTTTTACTAAATCTTAGCGGCATCAAGGTTTGAAAATGCAGCACTGTAAGAAACACCATAAATCCTAAGAGAATTATCCTCTACCTTCCTTTAAGGCCATTTCAGAACAATTTAAGGAGGAGGAATAAATGGAAGTTCTCATGCCAGATTTTATTCAAAGTTTCCTGGTTAATATCTCTCTTCTCATTATGTTCAAAGTCATGTGAGAGACTTTTTTACATTTCCTAAAACGCACTTCAAGTATTTACACATCAGTCTTTTCTACTCTTTGAGCGTAACCCATCAGTCAAGGAAGGATTTGGAGTATTGTGTGCAGGTCTGGAGCCCTCAATATAAGAAGGACATGGACCTGATGGAGAGGGTCCAGAGGAGGGCCACAAGGATGATCAGGGGGATGGAGCACCTCTGCTCCGAGGACAGGCTGAGGGAGCTGGGGTTGTTCAGCCTGGAGAAGAGGAGGCTCCGGGGAGACCTAATAGCGGCCTTCCAGTACCTGAAGGGAGCCTGCAGGAAGGTACCAGATTTGCACCTACAGTTATGGCAAGTGGGCTCACAAATAGAGACATGCAATTGTGCAGAAGTTCTTTTACTAAATCTTAGCGGCATCAAGGTTTGAAAATGCAGCACTGTAAGAAACACCATAAATCCTAAGAGAATTATCCTCTATGTTCCTTTAAGGCCATTTCAGAACAATTTAAGGAGGAGGAGTAAATGGAAGTTCTCATCCCGGATTTTATTCTGTTTTCTGGTTAATATCTCTCTTCCCATTATGTTCAAAGTCATGTGAGAGACTTTTCTACATTTCCTAAAACGCACTTCAGTATTTACACATCAGTCTTTTCTACTCTTTGAGCGTGATCCATCAGTCAAGGAAGGATTTGGAGTATTGTGTGCAGGTCTGGAGCCCTCAATATAAGAAGGACATGGACCTGATGGAGAGGGTCCAGAGGAGGGCCACAAGGATGATCAGGGGGATGGAGCACCTCTGCTACAAGGACAGGCTGAAGGAGCTGGGGTTGTTCAGCCTGGAGAAGAGGAGGCTCCGGGGAGACCTAATAGCAGCCTTCCAGTACCTGAAGGGAGCCTGCAGGAAGGCTGGGGAGAACCTGTTTAGAAAGGCCTGCAGTGACAGGACGAGGGGCAATGGCTTCAAGCTGGAGGAGAACAGCTTTAGACTGGAGATGAGGAGAGGGTTCTTCACTGTGAGGGTGGTGGAGCACTGGAACAGGTTGCCCAGGGAGGTGGTTGAGGCCCCATCCCTGGAGATATTCAAGGTGAGGCTCGACGAGGCCCTGGGCAACCTGGTCTAGTTGGGGGTGTCCCTGCTGACTGTGGGGAGGTTGGACTAGATGACCTTTGGAGGTCCCTTCCGGCCTGGACAACTCTATGATTCTATGATTCTATGATCTGCGTCAGAGCCACGTGCTGCGGGAGGGCTGCGGTGTGTGGGACGGGCCTGGACAACTCTATGATTCTATGATCTGCGTCAGAGCGACGTGCTGCGGGAGGGCTGTGGTGTGTGGGATGGACCCAGGGCTGACTTTTACCTCCCTCCCACACGTGAGGAAATCTCGCAGGGTTCACACTCAACCTGGCACTCGGGTACCCCCTTAGGCCATGGCTGGGCGCTGGGAGAGCTGGTGGAGTGCAACGTTCTGGGCACGGGACCAAACTGGGAAAATCCCACCATTCTCTTCCTTCCAATTCCACCTCTTTCCGGGCCACCTCACCCCATTTGTAACTTGTTATCTGGGTGGCTGAAAGAGGACACTACAGATCATTGTGAATACTCAGTGGCTTGTGTAAACGCCTTTGACGTGTCTCTGCTACAGAGCTGCAGTTTGGGAAGCCAACCATGAGTCTCATGGAGCTGCCCCTGCCACCCTTTGAGCAGAAACCACCACGGCAGTAGTGATGCCTCCTCCAGATCCTTCAGGAAGAAGGCATGGACAAGGACAAGGTCTGAGAGATAAATAAGGGGAACTTGGATTGGCCTAATCATGGAAATACTGTTTTTCTGGGTTCATTAAATCTTTGTCAAGCAGTGGGAAAACTGTTTGTTACTGGGCTGGGACAATAAGAGCAGCCCAAGAACTTCAGGATGACAAGAGCACTGTGCTAGAGACAACTGTGGTCACCCCAGTGGCCAGTGATGCAGGCTGGACACCAACCTGATGGCTCCCTCCTGTCTTCCAGTGGAAAGCACAGACCATTGCCATCCAGAAGCTCGTTGCTGCCTACGGAGAGTGTTCAACACCCAACCCATTCCATGGGGAGAGACCGATGGTTAGAGCTACACTGACAGGTTTGTGCCCTTCTCCTCTTGTCCTGTCCCTGGGCACCACTGAAAAAAGACTGAATAAATACTGCAAGGGTGGGTGTCAGGAGGATGGGGCCAGTCTTTCTTCAGCGGTGCCCAGGGACAGGACAAGAGGGAATGGACAGAAACTGGGACGTAACTTCCATCTGAAGATGAGGAGGAACTTTTCTACTTTGAGGGTGGCAGAGCCCTGGCAGAGGCTGCCCAGAAAGGTGGTGGAGTCTCCTTCTCTGGAGACATTCAAACCCACCTGGACACGTTCCTGTGCAACCTGCTCTGGGTGACCCTGCTCTGGCAGGAGGTTGGACCGGATGATCTCCAGAGGTCCCTTCCAACCCCACATCATTCTGTGACTCTGTGACTTGGGGCAGGGGCCTCAGCTGAGAAGGTGACTGCATGCATGAGGCTAGGATGCTCCTGGAGAATGACGATACACTCAGCCCTGGTATGTGCAAGCACTAATGGACTGAACCTGGTTGCACACTCCAGCCTTTGAAGCAGGAGGTGACATCCAGTGGCCACCAACTCCCGAGCGGGAGGGAAGGCACAGGCTCTGGCCGTGTGGAAAGCAGCGTGGGAGCGCGTGGAAGTCGGAGGTGGAAGAAATGCATCCACACAAACGTCAGGGGCTGGAGCTCAGTGTGCAGCAGAGGTGCTTCTGGAGGACACACGGTGTTTCTATCAGTCGTCACAGACAAAGCAATGCATTGTGTGGATGCATTTAGCTGGGCACTCACTTTGCCTTGTAGGAAGACAGAATTTAAACCAACTCCTCCAGCCTAATTGAAATCTTTTTTAGGATAAACAGTTAACAACAAACAATTACATATAAACAACCCCCATAAATGACCTCCCCACTCTGTTCTTTTCAGTTTTGTTGGGGATTTACCTGTTTCCAGCCATATTCCCTTGTGCCCACCCGTTCATCTCCGTCGAGGACTGATAGGCAGGATTAGCCTGAGACTGCTGAATCATGGGGCTTTGAGTGTGAGCCAGTCGTGGGGACATCAGTGGGCTCTGAGGAGTGGTGGCCCCTGTGAAGCCTGGATCGGGCTGCTGACTGATACCTGAAGAAAACAAGAAGTTTAACCACTGCACATTCAACGTTTGAACAAGCCAAGAGCTCATATCCACAAACGTATCTTCACATGGTCTTACTCATGTCATGTGGGAACTACAAACTTGTGTCTTAATGTGCAATCTAGATTAAAAGCAAGATATAATTAACTAATACTTATGTATAACCTTAAAAAAACCCCATTTAACTAATACTTATGTATAACCTTAAAAAAAACATTTTCATAGAATCATAGAATAGTTGGTATTGGAAGGGACCTTAAAGATCATCCAGTTCCAACCCCCTTGCCCTGGGCAGGGACACCTCCCACCAGAGCAGGTTGCTCCAAGCCCCATCCAGCCTGGCCTTGAACCCCTCCAGGGATGGGGCAGCCACAGCTTCTCTGGGCAACCTCTTCCAGGCTCTCACCACCCTCACAGCAAAGAATTTCTTTCTAGTATCTAATCTAAATCTTCCCTCTTTCAGTTTAAAACCCTTCCCCCTCATCCTATGGCTCCCCTCCCTGACCAAAAGTCCCTCCCCATCTCTCCTGGAGCCCCTTGAGGGACTGGAAGGGGCTCTAAGGTCTCCCCGGAGCCTTCTCTTCTCCAGGCTGGACAACCCCAACTCTCTCAGTCTGTCAATTTTGCTTATGTATGGTGGCTACCTGTGCAGTAGCCAACACAAGTGGTCTCTCCTCTCTACACACCAAAAGAAAAACACTGGTAAATGACTTTTTTTTTTCAGAAACTGCATTCAAAACAACAAATAAAACATTGGGCTCTAAGGTCTCCCCGGAGCCTTCTCTTCTCCAGGCTGGACAACCCCAACTCTCTCAGTCTGTCAATTTTGCTTATGTATGGTGGCTACCTGTGCAGTAGCCAACACAAGTGGTCTCTCCTCTCTACACACCAAAAGAAAAACACTGGTAAATGACTTTTTTTTTTCAGAAACTGCATTCAAAACAACAAATGTAACATTTTGCTTCTGCCAATCTGTCCATTTGGGTGCCCATTTACCATAGTTCTGCCATTTACCATTTAGGTAACTTTAGGTAACTTTTTCTAAAGTTCCTAGAACCTCAGCATCTCTATTTCCATGTCCCTGCAAAAACCAGGCAGTGACATTTGCTGCGAGCATTTAACAACTTTGTAAAATTAAAAAAAATATCTAGATGCAAAGGGAAACTACTTTAAGCTGTTTTCTGCCAATTGTCTGCAGAAATTTCATTTTAAACCAAGTCCCTTTGGCCTTGTTTAAGTTCATCACGAACGGGTAGACAGCAAATTTAGAATGGGATGGGCGTAATTCGTTATATCAGTAGAAGTTACATGTTACATATTATTTAATATAATTGTAATATAACTTATAAAATAGTTATAAATAAAGAAGCTGCATAACAGTAAGCGTATGGAGGGAACTGCCCCGTGCAGAACTCCCCCAGAACGACGCAGTATATACAGCTTTGTACAATATATAAGCAAAATGGTATTATTGGACATTATATAATGTCCTATTAGCTTATCTTTTAACACACAAGTTGTGTTATAAATAAAGAAGCTGCATAACAGTAAGCGTATGGAGGGAACTGCCCCGTGCAGAACTCCCCCAGAACGACGCAGTATATACAGCTTTGTACAATATATAAGCAAAATGGTATTATTGGACATTATATAATGTCCTATTAGCTTATCTTTTAACACACAAGTTGTTGATGGGACAAGGGGTAATGGTTTTAAACTGAAAGAGGGGAGATTTAGACCAGAAAGAAGGAAGAATTTTTTTTTCTGTAAGGGTGGTGAGACAGTTTGCCCAGAGAGATGGTGGATGGTGGATCCCTGGAAATATTCAAGGTCAGGCCTTGTTTAAGTTCATCACGAACGGGTAGACAGCAAATTTAGAATGGGATGGGCGTAATTCGTTATATCAGTAGAAGTTACATGTTACATATTATTTAATATAATTGTAATATAACTTATAAAATAGTTATAAATAAAGAAGCTGCATAACAGTAAGCGTATGGAGGGAACTGCCCCGTGCAGAACTCCCCCAGAACGACGCAGTATATACAGCTTTGTACAATATATAAGCAAAATGGTATTATTGGACATTATATAATGTCCTATTAGCTTATCTTTTAACACACAAGTTGTTGATGGGACAAGGGGTAATGGTTTTAAACTGAAAGAGGGGAGATTTAGACCAGAAAGAAGGAAGAAATTTTTTTCTGTAAAGGTTGTGAGGCAGGTTGCCCAGAGAGATGGTGGATGGTGGATCCCTGGAAATATTCAAGGTCAGGTGGGATGGGACTCTGGGCAACCTCCTTGTGTCTGAACACGAGGAGGAATTTCTTTCCTGTGAGGGTGGCAGAGCCCTGGCAGAGGCTGCCCAGAGAGGTGGTGGGGTCTCCTTCTCTGGAGACATTCAAACCCACCTGGACACGTTTACATGAGCCAGCAGTGTGCCCAGGTAGCCAAGAAAGCCAACAGCATCCTGGCCTGTATCAGGAACAGTGTGGGGAGTAGGGCCTGAGAGGTGATTGTCCCCCTGTACTCAGCACTGGTGAGGCCTCACCTTGAGTGCTGTGTCCAGTTTTGGGCCCCCTACCATAAAAAAGACATCGAGGTGCTGGAGCGGGTCCAGAAAAGGGCGACAAAGATGGTGAGGGGTCTGGAGAATAAGTCTTGTGAGGAGAGGCTGAAGGAATTGGGGTTATCTGGGAGGTATGGTTTAGTGATGATCCTTGTTTGTTGTGTGGGTGTCTATTTTTGTCAGTTAGGTTGACGGTTGGACAAGATGATCTTTAAGGTCCCTTCCAACCTAGAAGATTCTGTGATTCTGTTCCTGTGGGACCTGCTCTGGGTGGACCTGCTCTGGCAGGGAGTTGGAGTAGATGATCTCCAGAGGTTCCTTCCAACCCCATGTGATTCTGTGATTCTGTGTTTTAATGTATAGATATAGGCAAATAAACATGTCACACTCCTGCTCAGAGAACACGTGGTACCAGAGCCAAGGGGCCTGAAGCTCCCCATTTCCCATTGTTCCCATGGAGCCAGGCCAAGGGGCTTTGGAAGGTGGACATGGACCCATCAGTGGGGAGGACACAGGGGAGTGAGGAGTGCCGACGCGCGTTGAGGGAGGTGGAACCAGTACCGTAGTTTGGAGGAAACGGGAACTGCTGGGCGTTCGCCTGGGGGATGCGGGGGTTGCTCATGGTGGCTGGAATGCCACCGGTGGCCACCATGCTGGGGGTCATGCTCAAGCCCTGCCCTCGCATCATCAGCGTGCGCTGCTGGACCTGCTGCTGCTGCTGCTGCTGCATCTGCCGCTGCCGCAGGTGCTGGCTCAGGATCTCCCGCTGCCTCTGTGCCAGCATCTGGGCGTTGATGGGGCCCTGCAGGGAAAAAAAAACCAACCACCCCCCTCATCAATGACAAACTGACCAGTGGAGGCATCTCCACCGGAGCAAACTGGAAGATTCCAGCTCTTTCTTTCCGCCCCCCACCCAACTAACACTAATATTAAATGCAAGAAAATAATCCCATTAATACTTCCAACAGTGCAAGAGTCAGTAACTGAAATAATGAAATAACGCCGGTGGTTAATGTTGCAGGGGTTTGTAATTGCCAATCCAGCAGCTCATTAAAGAAAGGCATCTTTAGGAAATGAGAAGCTTGGTTAAAAATGCAGTTATATCATATTTCCAGTAAACAGCCACCCACCCCATGTAAACATGGGAAACACTCTCAGAAATGAAACAGCAAAATGCTTCTTATCATACAGACTGCATTTTTATATCAAGCTTTAGAATTTATTGCATGTATTTACCAGGTAGTGTTACTACTGTATTTAACTGGGGGGGACACAGAGAAGAAAATAAAGTGATTTTTTTGCCAAAAAAGTACTATTTCTCTCACCTGCGTTGGCACTCCAGGTCTCAAAGACAGATTCATATTGGAGACACTGCTGATCTGATTTATCAGTGGCTGCCGATTCTAAAGAAAAAAAAAACAACAACCCAATAAACAACACCAAACCCCAAAGGTTTGAGAAGGAAAACAAGAAACAGGCAATTTTATATACGGAGCTATATTTATATCAACTTCCTGACTACTTGGTCTGAGGACCTGGTTTTACATATTCAAGCAGGGACTAGTTTTGTTGCTCAAGCCCTGCTATTATTCACAGAATCCTGTTTCTTAAGGAGGTAATACACTGCAGAAGTAAGGACTAAGCTGTTGACCAAACATGCTGCCTTTCCAGCTCTTGCCTTTTTTGAGTTTGCGACTGGATTTGGAGGTTTACTCCAAATTAGCCCCTGTCCTGATATTTGAAGGCAGAAATGATTTTCCTCCTTCACTAGAAAAACATTAGCATCTTATTTCTAGTACTATGAACCTGTATGTTTAAAAATGAGGAAAGAAACAATAATGTGAAATGATCCTCAAAAGCAGACGAAGGCCAAGGACAAAAAAAAAAGGTTGTAGGTATCAGGCAGCAATAAAAGTTTTTAGACTGCAGGAGGAGGCAAGATATAACACACAGAAAAAGACTTGTATGACACAAAGCACCGCTGCAGCCTCACTCAAAGGATGAGTGAGACCCAGGTGTAAATACCAGGCACGGTCTTGCCTGATACAGGAGAATAACAAAAAGATTGTCCAGAGAAGCTGTGGCTGCCCCATCCCTGGAGGGGTTCAAGGCCAGGCTGGATGGGGCTTGGAGCAACCTGGTCTGGTGGGAGGTGTCCCTGCCCAGGGCAGGGGGTTGGAACTCAATGATCTTGAAGGTCCCTTCCAACCCAAACCATTCTATGGATCAAATGTGATTGTAAGAAGGGTCTCTCCTGGAAGGGGCTCCAGGAGAGATGGGGAGGGACTTCTGATCAGGGAGGGGAGCCATAGGATGAGGGGGAAGGGTTTTAAACTGAAAGAGGGGAGATTGAGATGAGATCTAAGGAAGTAATTCTTTGCTGTGAGGGTGGTGAGAGCCTGGAAGAGGTTGCCCAGAGAAGCTGTGGCTGCCCCATCCCTGGAGGGGTTCAAGGCCAGGCTGGATGGGGCTTGGAGCAACCTGGTCTGGCGGGAGGTGTCCCTGCCCAGGGCAGGGGGGACTCGATCATCTTGAAGGTCCCTTCCAACCCAAACCATTCTAAGATGCAAAAAAAAAAGACCAAAAAAGAGACTGCACAAGGCACTCTCTTGGCACAATTCATTATGGCTACTGGTTTTAGTTCAAGAAGTGGAATTAGGCTACAGCAAAACCGGGTGCATGTTTCAGAGGGGGTGTGTTAGGAGGGAGCTGAGGGTAGGTGTGGAAGGGCATGTACCTGCTGTGCCTGGAGCCTGTGCTGCAGCTGGAGCCGCAGCTGGTTGGGCTGGTTCTGCACGATGCCCGTTGGTCGCAGGCCCGGCCGCGGCTGCATGCGAAGGGCGGCGTAGCCCGGGCGCTGCCCCATGGGGTGGAAGCTGGGGTCCTGCATGGGGGCATAGCCCCCCTGCCCCATGGGGGCCTGCGCCCCGTACTGCTGGGAGAACACCGGCGCCTTCTGCTCCATCAGGATGCCCGACTCCTGGCTGGGGAAGGTCTCGGGGTCCACAGCTTGGCTCTGCAGAACAACACGAGTGAAAGAAAGGGTTGGTGGGACGTGGCTTAGGGTCACACAGGACTGATACAACCAACCCAACAATACAACCAACCCAACAACCTAACACAACAAAAACCAAACTTCCAGGGTGTGAATGTCTGTAAGCAGAAAATGACATAGATTTTCTTTATCTACATATAAACCATAAAAACAAAGAGAACTGTATTTTTGAGTGTCAAAACATATTTCAGCCTGGAGAAGAGAAGGCTCCAGGGAGACCTTAGAGCCTCTTCCAGTCCCTAAAGGGGCTCCAGGAGAGATGGGGAGGGACTCTGGATCAGGGAGGGGAGCCATAGGATGAGGGGGAAGGGTTTTAAACTGAAAGAGGGGAGATTGAGATGAGATCTCAGGAAGAAATTCTTTGCTGTGAGGGTGGTGAGACCCTGGAAGAGGTTGCCCAGAGAAGCTGTGGCTGCCCCATCCCTGGAGGGGTTCAAGGCCAGGCTGGATGGGGCTTGGAGCAACCTGGTCTGGTGGGAGGTGTCCCTGCCCAGGGCAGGGGGTTGGAACTGCATGATCTTTAAGGTCCCTTCCAACCCAAACCATTCTATGATTCTCTGCAGACAAATTCCTCCTCTCTTTTTATTTTAAAATAAAGACCCACAATCTTTGTCATGTTCTTAACTGAGCCACTGTGTTATTCTGCCAATGAATAAAAACCTGAGATGACAAATGTTCTATCAAAATGTGCAAATGAAGTGATCCCAGCAGATTCTTCCCATTGAGTCCAAGAGAAATTCAAAGACGTTACAAATGAATAAGGATAAGAAAGTATATTTTTATCAGTATCTTTAAACATAATAATGACTTCAAATAAAGATGCCTGGAACTATTACAGAAGCTAATGTGAACATAGTGCCTAATTCTTTCCGGGCACTTTCACACAAACTGATTATCCATTAGCATAAAAAAGCTAACACAATTCTAAACTCCATCCTAGATACTCCCCTAATATTTGCTCTAGCCAGAATAATTTTATAGCTTATTCCACACTGACCTTGGAAATCAAGTTAATCTAAATTTCAGTGCCCTCATGAAAGACTTTAGGCTCCTCTAAAACATTTGATGGATATTTTAAAAAACGCGTTCTAAAATGTGACAGTTCTCTTTATCTGCGAAACTCCTTAACTGTTCTCACTGAGATATTCATTAAATAGAAATGTATGTACCACTTCGTTTGAAATAAAACATTATTAGTTTCTTTTTTTTTTTTGGTGGTGGTACTCCAAAAGCTATGTAATACTGCATGGAAGCTTCACTCTGCAAAACTGAAGTTCACCAATAAATGATATCTCCAACTCAACACCTCACTGAGTTCTGTGTTGGGCCAGGGAGGCTGGGAGATAAGTTTTCTCATATTCAAAGTGGGATTTAATTGGATATTTCATATCTAAAATACAGAGTTGGTTCAGAAGTTACTCTCAGGATGCTGCTGAGTGCTGGGGAATGAAATGGGTGTTCTAGGCTACCTTTTCTCATGATTTTTTTTTTTTTAACCACTTGTTTTTGGCACCATATAAGGCTGAAATGGGCAAGAACCGACTGGAAGACAACAAAAATAACTGGGGGGGGAAAAAATGGGTGGAAAGGAATAGAACAATTTCATGCTGTAAAGTTCAGGAAGCATGTTTGTCATTTCAAAAAAAGTAAAATTTTAAGTGCTTGGAAAGAGATCAGCTGCTTCAGGTGAAACTCATCCCTTAACATACATTCATCAATTGAGAAAAAACTACGAGTGATATTACACATCATGGGTTTGCTCATTCAAAAGCTTGTTGCACCTGTGACACAAAGGTCTTGATCTTGCTCCTCTGCTCCGAGGTCTTCGTGTTCCTTTTTTCCTTCTTTCCTGTACCCTGTTGCTGGCCATGATCTTACCTTTCTCCCACCCAGTTGTTCCTCTGACCACCAGATAAGGTGATTTTTTTTGGTTCTGCTGGTTTTTTTGGGTTTGGCCAGGTCTGTTGCGTAAAGCAAAGTGGTCAGAAGAAGAAGAGCTCAGTGACGGTGGCAGGAGAGAAGAAGGAAAACTAAACCTGGGGCTGAAGGAAGCTTTTCAGGAGACAAGAAGAAGTGTTTTATAATCCCCTTCAACACACACTTGACCTCCACCATGACAAGACATCCCTTGAATGCAACACCAAACACACGCAACGCAACGTGGGGGATACCTGGCTCACAAGCTCTGGTATTCCTAGAGCCCTGTCGATTTCTTCTAAACCATCAAAATTCCTTAGGGCCATGTAAAGCTGATCCAGGAGAGCACCCTCATCGCTCGGTGACTCCGACGAGGGATGGTTACACAAGAGATCATCGGGTGAGCTGCCAAAGGGTTGCCTGTGAAAACACCAACACAAGCCTTGGTCAACAGCTGTGGAAAAACACGGGATAATATGACATGGAATTAACAAGCGGAGACGGAAATTATTTCAGTCGCTGCCAATTTTGTTTAGAGAAATATTCTGGATGAAAAGGCCCAAAGAAATAACTAAATAGCATGATTAATCCCTGTCAAGACCCTACAAGCAGGGTGGAGCTGACAGGTAGGGAGGGACACCAAAGGTACAACCCAGTGCTGATCTCTTGATAGAGGGTAAATGGAGGAACAGCGAAGCCAGTATAGAATATATAGTCATTGAACACAGAAAGTTAAATAATTTACAAAAAAACCACCCTAATTATACCTTTGAATTTCAGATGTTATCACAAATATCTGGTTCTGGGCTCCCCAGTTCAAGAAGGACAGGGAACTGGTGGAGAGGGGACAGCAGAGGCTACAGAGGTGATGAGGGGAGTAGAACATCTCTCTGATGAGGAAAGGCTGAGGGACTTGGGTCTGTTTAGTCTGGAGAAGAGAAGGCTGAGGGGGGGACCTCATCAATGCTTATCAATATCTACAGGATGGGGGTCAGGCTCTTCTCAGTGGTGCCCAGGGACAGGACAAGAGGAAATGGGCACAAACTTGAACATAACAAGTTCCACCTAAACACGAGGAGGAACTTCTTTGCTGTGAGGGTGGCAGAGCCCTGGAAGAGGCTGCCCAGAGAGGTGGTGGAGTCTCTTTCTCTGGAGACATTCAAACCCACCTGGGTAGTGGAGCACTGGAACAGGTTGCCCAGGGAGGTGGTTGAGGCCCCATCCCTGGAGATATTCAAGGTGAGGCTCGATGAGGCCCTGGGCAACCTGGTCTAGTTGGGGGTGTCCCTGCTGACTGCGGGGAGGTCGGACTAGATGACCCTTGGAGGTCCCTTCCGGCCTGGGCAATTCTATGATTCTATGACACGTTCCTGTGGGACCTGCTCTGGGCGACCCTGCTCTGGCAGGGGGTTGGACTGGATGATCCCCAGAGGTCCCTTCCGACCCCACATCATTCTGTGATTCTGTGAAGTAGACCTCATTTCTGTAGACACTCTTCTTAACTGATTTTCTGTCAGACAAAGGGAATGGAAGAGGCAGCAAAGGGGTCTGAGGGTGGTCCCAGCTGGCACAGACTGAACATCTGGAAGAGCTGGCCAGAAGCGGGAAGGAGGAGGGAGAAAAGGACATTCCCCTTCTATTTGGATACAACACTGGATCAGCTCAATCCATTTTAGGGAGCTGCACACTTGGGGGCTGGTTAATGTACTTCGTTACATGTCATCAAAAATTTGGGTGGTGTCAGGCAGAGCCTGCTGGCTCCATAAATCCCGCTCCTCATTACTGGGAGACAACAAAATCTGCCACACGTGGTGGGAGGAGCCAGCCCTGTATGTGATCCCCTTTTACGTGTCTTGTTTGGAAAACCAAAGAAAGGCGTTTGTATATTTAGTTTCCCCATAATGAGATCTCTGGTTGCCATGGCAGTCTAATCTCTGTGTCAGGGCGAAGCAGGAGGAGAGAGCTGCACCCTCAGGCCACACACCTCAACCCCAAGGGATGCCCAGCAGGAAAACTAACCAAAACATAACTCTTTTTAATTAGATCTGGCCTGTAAAAAAATAAAAATAAGGATATATAGGACATACCTTCAAATCACCGCAAAGTATTAATCCATCTCATATATAAAGAAGTTTCTATAACTCTCACAGATGGAATTATTAATCAGTAAAAGGGAAGAGCCAAAAAAAAAAAAGAAATAATAATCCTTTGAAACAAATTGCTTCCAAACTTTAAAGATGTCTTCAGAAGGAATCTATCGTCTGGAAAAATAATCAGTGGGGCCAGCCAAAAACGCCCCTCAGATTGCAAATGGGCATGAATACACACAGCAGGAAAAAGTTTAAAACATTTGCCAAACTCTGTATATTCAAGAATGACAATTTGTTTTTTCCCCCATTTCATTTACATCACACAATGATGTTAATTTTTCTCCCAAAGAATCATTTTTACTCATGATTCCACTTTTATCGTTATTTCATTCTCTCTATGAGAATGAGATTCTAAAAATACAAATCCCAGGGATTAAGGTAGTAAGAAATGGCAGCACCAAACAATTCACCCTCTCTCTTTGGGTGTAAATGACCAAAAATATGGTCACTTTCAGATGCATCGCAATGGGCATTTTTTTTACCATCTTCAGCTACAAGGAAATTATGAAAAAGGCAAAGGTAACGAAAGGGAGAAATTATCTCCCTGATTTGCTCATCAAACTCAGCCTGTATTTTATTTTATGGTATCATTTTTAAAATGAAAAATTAAGTTTTGCAAACAGTGCTTTTGGCAAACGGTCACCCCAACTGCATCAGCACCAGGAAACGTCTTGAAAAGCATAAAAAAGTTCAAAAAGTAACAGAAAATGCCACACTTGTGGCAGATAATATTTTTGGACATCCTTTCACAATGAAAAGTAAGAGAATGTAGTCTGAAGATTAAACTTGATTAATCTTTCTTCAAAAACACTTTTTTTCAAACTGCTTCCCCTTCATTACTTTCACAATGAAAAGTAAGAGAATGTAGTCCGAGGATTAATCTTGATTAACCTTTCTTCAAAGACACTTTTTTTTCCAACTGCTTTCCCTTAATTTTTCTTTTTTAGCACTCCTCCCGTTTACTTCTGAAAAATATCCCAACTCACACAATTCAAAATATTTCAACATTTTGCCTTTATCTGTCCACTTATTCAGTCCATGCGTGTATATATATATATTTTTTTTTTTCTAATTTAAGCAGTGAACTTTTTGGAGAAGCCTTTTTTTTAGAGAAGTGTAAATTGCTCTTCATAATTATGGCATTATTCAGAAGTCTTAATAATGTTAATAAAGCAATTAAAAAAGTGAATATATTAAAAATGAGTTAATAACTTGTGATGGGCCTGTGGTTCTGGGTACCAGAGAAGAAGCTAATTTTAGGGAAGAGGCAGCCTCCGTTTCACTTCATCTTTCCTTCCTCACCTTTTACAGAACCCAGGTCAATTAAAAAACCTCAAACAAAACAGAAATTAACGACGTCGAGAGTCGGACTCACCTGTTTTGATTTCCAAAAGTTGCCTGATCTATGGGCAAGATGCTGTCTGGCCACGGTGCAGTCTGGTTGGGAGGGGCCTGCTGCTGGCTGTACTGAGGTCCTCCCATGTTCATCTCCAATTCGGATGGCCCTAATAAAGGAAAAATAACCCCAGAACTTTTGAGAAAAAAAAAAATAAAAATCTACTGGCCCTAATAAAGGAAAAATAACCCCAGAAGTTTTGAGAAAAAAATTAAATATCTATTTTCCTGTTAATTCTTTCCATTGACTTATCTATTTAGAGTAAAAGCAAACAAAATCGTTAAGACTTCAGTAATGTTACACTTAAAAGCATCATTACTTTTTCTTGTTAAAAATTGCTTTTAAAATCCAAGAAAATAACATGAGAACTCCGAAAGTGGTTCATAAAACAGCAGATATGACATCATGGATGCAAAAATTTAGTAACATGAGCATAACAAAAGGACAGTATAGAGAGTAAATATCCTAATGTATAGGATAGGTCACCTGCTTTAGAATGTATAGGTCACCTGCTTTAGAAGTGACCAGGAACATAATGCTCCCAGCATTTCCTCTTAAAACACTCCTGTTTTTGATAAGCAGGAGTAACTTCACATCCTCTTTCTTTGGCCACTTTGACCACTCTGGAGCTACAGAGCAGCAGGAACTGGTCACATCAATTCATGTGTTGAAAGTTAGTGTTTGAATCAGAGAATCACAGGATGGTTTGGGTTGGAACGGATCTTAAAGATCATCCAGTTCCAACCCCCTGCCCTGGGCAGGGACACCTCCCACCAGACCAGGTTGCTCTAAGCCCCATCCAGCCTGGCCTTGAACCCCTCCAGGGATGGGGCAGCCACAGCTTCTCTGGGCAACCTCTTCCAGGCTCTCACCACCCTCACAGCAAAGAATTTCTTCCCCAGATCTCATCTCAATCTCCCCTCTTTCAGTTTAAAACTGTCCCCCTTGTCCTATGGCTCCCCTTCCTGATCCAGAGTCCCTCCCCATCTCTCCTGGAGCCCCTTGAGGGACTGGAAGGGGCTCTAAGGTCTCCCTGGAGCCTTCTCTTCTCCAGGTTGAACAACCCCAACCCTCTCAGCCTGTCCTCACAGCAGAGGGGCTCCAGCCCTCGGAGCATCATGTTTTACACACCTTCCTTCCCACTTCCAAAGGAAACTTTCACAGTGGGATAAGGTTCTCATCAAACCTATAATTGAAGTGAGTTTTTTTTCTTTTTTTTTTTTTTCTTTTTTCTGCTTCATCTCTGACAATCCAGCGTGCCCCAAGAAGCCCAACCTGGCATGCTCCCTGACTTACCCATGTTCATGACCTGAGAGGGCAGCATCTGCCTGGGCCCGGGCTGGCTGCTGGGTCTCAGGGGGATGCTGGCCGTGGGGTTGCGGATCATCCCGGTTTGCACCGGCCTGTTCATGGCGCCGGCCGTGGGGGCACAGGTCACCCTGACGGCAGCAGCCTGGCCTCCCCAGTCCCCAGACGTCATGGCAGGGCGAGGGGCAGTGCCACCCATCATTCCTGTGCAAGAAACAGACAGATTTAGGTGCTGGGCGCATGTTTTGGGACAACTTCAGCATCGCCAACGCCTGACAGGCCGCGTTTTTCGCCATGAAGAACCCAGACGTTGTGCCCCAACTGTCCCTCCAGCTGTGCAAAGCTAGAGAAGGAGGCCCTTAACCCTGCTGAGTCAAGAGGCTGGAGGTTATGACACGTTGTACGGGGGGAGGATCCTCCTCTGGTTTCCAAAACGCTGCTGGGGAGCGAGGGTTCCCACATGTGGCCCGAGACAGGTGGTGAGGGGTGAGCGGATGGATGGGCCCAGCTTCCTTCCGCAGGAAATGAGTCACGTTTGCTGATGTGTGTGTGTCTGTGTGTGTGTTGTGTGTCTGTATGTGTGTGTTGTGTGTCTGTGTGTGTTGTGTGTGTGTTGTGTGTCTGTGTGTGTGGTGTGTGCCTGTGTGTGTTGTGTGTGTGTTGTGTGCGTTGTGTGTGTGGTATGTGTTGTGTGTGTGTCACTCCTTTACTTTCCAAGCGCTAAGCAAGGACCGAGACTGTGTGTGTCTGTGTGTGTGTTGTGTGTCTGTATGTGTGTGTTGTGTGTCTGTGTGTGTTGTGTGTGTGTTGTGTGTGTGTCACTCCCTTACTTTCCAAGCGCTAAGCGAGGGCCGAGATGCGGGTTAACGACGCGTTATCGCTCCACGGGCCCACAAACGAGAAGGACCCCATTTAAATTCAACTTCTGCAAACATCTTCTGGTGATCCCTTTCATTCAGAACCTTCTCAGCTCTGAGGCTCACCCAGATCATGGCGACCCAACGCACCGTGCAGGGAAATTACTCACAGGAACTTTCCGATAGATGCTGAAGCTCATTACCGTTATTTTAGGGGAAGTCCTCCTACATCTACTGTAAACAACTGATGCAGTTTTATTTACACTTGGAATATATAGAGGATGACACTCTGACTGCAGCCAAAAATACCCAGTTGAGCCCCAACTCAGAAAAAAAAAAAACCCAACCCTAAAGATATGCATTCATGGTATTTGTACATTTCGATTTTATACAGGTAAAACACTGATCTCACTGATACCGGCCTCTCCTGCTGCAATTTTGCAACATCCTTAAATGAGTACTAAAAATCCACACATAGTTATTGCTCATCATCCTGATTATCCCTTGATACACAACCAAGGAGGCAAACCCTCTGAAGAGGGTCATTCCCTCAGCTGCTGTACAAAATCTGGTTCAGTGTGACATCCTCAGGTCTGTCCTCTCTGCATCCACCTTCCATCAGCTGAAACACGTGGTGTGCTCCAGCAAAGGGCAGGAGCACAGATACTAACTTCTGACTTGTATACATCAGGTGAATAACATCCTCCAATATGTATACAGAAGATGAAAGGAATAGGACACTCGAAAGACGACAAGTTGACCTCTAAAATGCTTAAATAGGATATTTCAGTGTCTGGCAGCGTGTCTTTTTTAAATACTGATGCAAACAAAATATAACATTTTGAGAGCGAATAACCAGCCAGTGAAAGGACTTAAAACACCCATTTATTTCCTCCCCCAGAGTTCTCAGCCATCACTGCACACTGGGACAGTCTCAGACTATGAACTAATTGAAATAAGTAAATCAGCCAGATTTTTCTTGCCCCCCCCAGTATTTTTGTATGATATCAGGGCAACATGAAGAAATCAATGCACCCCAAATCAGGCATAATCTGTGACAAAACCAATATCAGTGCAACACCTGATGGTTCCCCAAAAGCTTATGTTTCAGAAAATGAAAATATTAGTCATTCCTTCAACTTAACATGAGAAATAAGGGGCAATAAATAAAGAATAACTGAGGGCAAAACCAAGGTCTGCAGAGATTCACATCCTAAGAGCAACAGAACTACCTCTACAGACGAATGGTTAATGTTATTTGCTGCAGAGATTCACATCCTAAGAGCAACAGAATTGCCCACTGTTTTATTTCGAAAGAACCACCTCTACAGACGAACGGTTAATGCTATTTGCTTTTTTTCAAGGCAAAAAGATTGGATTTTTACCTATCTGAGTCTCAAATGAATCTGGAATGTTTCTGGGAAGAGACTCTAATTGCCAATACACTGTTTTCAGGGAGGTGAAAAGCAGTGCACGAAGAGCACGACTGACAATATGGTGAAACAAATTCAAAATAAATATGGCAACAGAGAACAGCCCACAAAACAGGATTTTTTTTCCAGACTATTTGGAAAGTTTCTCCAATAACCTGCGTTTGTAATAACCCCACCATTGTTACACGCGCTACGGGCTGTTACTCGAATGTATTTAATTAAAAAAAAAAAGGAAAAAAAAGGAAAAAAAAAGGGAATTCATCTTACCTGTGCTGCTGTTGCCTAAAGTTCCTTGGCTTCCGATCATCCCCTCGTTCCTGCCCATCAGTCCCGGCTGAGGTATCACGGAATAGGGGCTGCTCGTTCTTATGGGGGGGAACGAGCCCGCGCCCGGGGGGTTCTGCAGCGGGATGTCAAGTGGTAAATTCTGGTTTGGTAACAACCTGCCCAGTTGCCCTGCTCCTCGTGGGTTATTAAAAGCTAGACAAGGAGGAGCAAAGGTGAAAAAAAAAAAAAATAAAAAATCAAAGTTACAAGAATGGAAACTTTACTTGTTAAAAAAAAAAAAAAAGAAAAAAAAGAACCCAAACACACTTGAAGCTCCTGGGGCTGAGCTATTTAATGCTGCCTGATTTACCCGCTCCCTATCTGTCTGAGAAACATCCCTTCTTGACATTTTTATGTAAATTTCAACATGGAAACATTCTGACAGTAAAACCGGTGTGACGTATATTTTTAAAACTTTAAACGATGCAATTGAACGGAGAGAAGAGCCACTGTGCAGCAAAATAGACCTCTGCGTGATGTGCACACTACTGCCAATTAATCTTATACCCAGTAGGGCTCTAATTGCATGCAGGTGTCATCCTAAGGCAGATTGTTAGGAATCAGCTCAGTTTTCAAAGTTTTCCGGCATAAGCCGTGCCCCTGAAGAAGTTACCAAAATTAAGGGCAGACTGAGTTTATATCAGATCCTGCAGCCCCATTTCTACATCTCCCTCTTAATTCTTTTTTTTACGTTTTTTATCATTAATAAAAATCAGCACTTCCATCATTCAGCAACAACAAAAAGCTCCAGAATTAGAGCTGTGCCACCAGAATATTCTGGTGGACAGAAGGATGTTCGATGGTGACTGTCACCTTGATATAACTCTTTTCTTCCATGAAGGTGTTTTGTGCTCTTAAAAATCAGGTTCTACAAAGAAAACTGCAGGTTGTCCCAAAAAAGCAAGCTCCAGCTCACAACTGGCAAACATCTGGCTCAGCTGGTCTCTGGGAGATGGAAGATGGGAGAAACGTCCCCTGATGGGCACAATTAGTTCTCAGACACCAATCAAACGCTGACCTTGGGCCCGTGAGTCCATTTCCAATCACACCAATAAAACTCATCCAAAGAAATGAACCATTTTCATGAAATTCCTAATTTGCAATACCCCTGGGCAGCTTCCCCACAGCCAGTCTCTGATGTAACAGCATCCTTAAAGCCACTTCTGCGTTTTTCTATTCACCAAATTACAAAGCAGTTAAAGAACTTCTTTCTTATTTTAGATCGAAGTAGTGATACCTTTGACTTTGAGAATGTAGGTGAAGTTTATCAACCTCATTAAAAAGCCCAGAAACATCTTATTACAAAGGTCTCTGGCTTTTTTTTCTTATTTTATAAAGCCAGAGTATGGGAACTCATTGTATTTATTTATTTTTTAATACACGTGATCTGCCAGGTGAATTTGTTTATATGTGTGTATAGGAAATAAACCCCATACACCTAATTCCTAACCATCAGATCGAAATTTTGTCTTGATTGTCTGCTCAGACAGGCAAAGAAAACTTACTTATAAGAAAAAAATTACTTTCCCAAGCCTAGGGGCATGATAAAGTCTAAGGATTGAACCAAACCCAAATTCCAGTGACAGTTTCAGAGCAGTTTGTGCCAGAAGTTTGATTAAAAATCACACAGAGGAGGGAGTTGGTTTTTGGGTTGCTTTGCCAGCACCCACTGATCCAACAAAAAGGAAAGCTGGAAAGGCAGCACAAAATGAGGAACATCATCGATGGGAGGTGATGGTGCTCACATCGCACACGTTCTGCTCTTGGTCAGGATGGGACCCAAGGAGGTTCCCCGTCCCTGACACAAAAAAACCAGCCATTTGGCAAATCCAGCAGCTTTCAAGTCTTCTATATATCTTTTTTTTAAGACAGATAAAAATATTTTAAATATTTTCATGCAAACCCAGTAAAACGAAAGCTGCTTATTTCTTCACAAAAGAAAATAAATATAAAAACCCCAAAACTTTTTTGGAATTGTGTATGATTTGATGTTCATTCTACATGGCTTTTCCCTGAGCACATAAAAAGCCGCGCGCTGTGCACCCGTTTGCTGTAAGCTCTTCTACAGAAAAGAAGGCAGAAGCTCCCCAGGCACAGATTGAAGTGGGCAAAAAAAGTTTTAGGGCTTTAATTTACTGGGGAAACAGGACGTTGCTTTTACAGAATTGTTACTAACTCCTAAGACACATTCATTCACCATCCTGCTGTTATTGACAGCAGATTTGAAGCCAGGTTAACTCTGGAAAGTCAAGAGGCTCCAGTTGAAGGAACCACCAGAGCTTGTTTCAGAAAGAACATGCTGAAGATTTCAGACGTGCAGAGATTTCCTTCTGACTTCTGTGCTGCTGCTTGCACCCCTGTACTTACAAAAATGAGTACAATAATTCCATCTTTCTATGAGCAGCATCGATAACAAATAGTAATTTAAGGATCTGTAGTGGTTTCAATAAGCATTTGAACATTAATATTTATTATTACTAGTACTATGAATATTTATTTTAAAATCGCTAAGTAATAATTTGAGTTGATTTAAAAGTGGCAAGGTGCTATTTTCACATTATTAGAATGGCTCAAAATATTATCTAAGGCCTATGTTTTATACAAAAAATCAGCAGTGTTCACTGAAGGAAGTAAATAGATTAAGCCATCTTCACCAACAGGAGAAAAAAATGAAAGCAGTGGCATTTTATGCTATTTTCTTCAATATTTGTAGTTAATAAGCCTTGGAAAGTGTTGCCCGCTTTCCATTATTCTATGGTGGCACACCAACATTTCATCACTGAGTCGTGAGTTAATTAATAAACTTAAGAACACTGTCAGCTGGAAGCGACTCAATTAAAAGCCACAATTTCAAATTAAACTTGGCGATTCCTCTTAATCAAATGTCTTTCTATTAATCTTGTGGTTTTAGAAGACGACCCTCCTTCACGCCTAGAAAAGCCTCTCTTGTCCATGAGTGGCTTCATTACTGAACAAGGGGCTCCATCCCAAAGCCACAGATGTCACCACCAGCATCACCTACAACCACAACAAGGGACCTTTCAGTTTTTTTGAGGGCACCTCTTAAAACCCCTCTTAAAAACCCTCAAAGCTCCTCAAAGAGTGGGGAGAAGATGCAGCAGAGGCTACAAAGATGATAAAGGGACTAGAACCTCTCTCTGATGGGGAAAGGCTGAGGGACTTGGGTCTGTTTAGTCTGGAGAAGACTGAGGGGGGGGACCTCATCAATGCTTATCAATATCTACAGGATGGGTGCCAGGACAATGGGGTCAGGCTCTTCTCAGTGGTGCCCAGTGACAAGATAAGAGATAATGGGCACAAACATGAATATAAGAAGTTCCAGCTAAACATGAGGAGGAACTTCTTTCCTGTGAGGGTGGCAGAGCCCTGGCAGAGGCTGCCCAGAGAGGTGGTGGAGTCTCCTCCTCTGGAGACATTCAAACCTGCCTGGATGTGTTCCTGTGGGACCTGCTCTGGGAGGACCTGTTCTGGCAGGGCGTTGGACTGGACGATCTCCAGAGGTCCCTTCCAACCCCATGTGATTCTGTGACTTCCAGGGTGCTGAATGAATTAGAACCTCCACAAGTGTTTCAAAACAGGGTGACCGCAGATGGCGCTATATCATCACGCAAGACCAGAGCAGGACCAAGATCTGCCCAGTTCCTCCTCCGTGACCCAGGGGTACCACCACCACCACCACCGTTTTGGGGGTTCGCAAGCTCTGCCAACACATGCACGTGGAGGGAAGGTGGACTCACTGCTCTGTGAAATCCTCATTGCTGGTTTCTGGGTGGCCACGGCCGTGCCGGGGCTGCTCTCACTGGTGAGCTGCATGAGGTCATTGATGATGGCTTGCTTGTCCACCGAGCCGGTTGGGGCGCCTGGGCGGTTATCTGGGAAAAGCTGCGGTAACTGGCTGTTCTGCAGGTCATCCAGAATCTCCTCCAAGTTGTCCAATTCACTGCCTGGCTGCGATGAAAAAAAGAAAAGAACAAAACACAAACCCCACAGTACAGGTCGCTGCTCGCCCGCTCCCGGCCTTCCCGCTCGCCCCGAGCCGGCACCGCCTTCCGATGCTTCCACCGAGTAGGCCGATGTGGAGGAAGGTCATAAAGCTGAGGAAAAGGAGCGGTGAAGGCTCCTCAGGGCTGGTCCCCCTCGCATTTGGGGAGCCCAGTGTGGCCTGGCACCCCTTTAAAGCCCTGGCATGGGGACGTATGGATCCATACGTTGGGCAAAGGGGAGATTCTCCCTGCGAACTCCGCAATCGACACAGGCAGGGGAGGAGATCCCACAGCGATGGAGACGGGGGTTTATATAGGTATAACCCATATTCCTTTCAGCACAGTCATCTTTCTAGTCTCTTTATGACTTGATTAAAAGCACACGATGGAAAAGTTGCTTCACAGCTACAACAATTCCCCGTGTGCATTTTCTTTGCTACATTCAGGACCTCTCCACCAAACACCTCTACAGAAGTTAACGGGCAAGAGATATACGTCGCCATTAAGTTCTATAAATTAAGACCTGTCAACTAGTTACTAGGTTTAGAAATTTATTTTGCTCCAAACTGCCCAAATCACTGAAAATAGCTCCTCTACAGTAAGATAAAAAAAGAAAAGAGAAATCTCATTACGTTCAATTCGGTAGAAAATTATCATGAAATAAAGATGGGAAAAAACTTAAGTTCACCCAAACTAACACAAATACTGACCTGCATATTTGTCTTAAAAATGCTGATTTTCACCAGTATTTTTTTTTTTTTTTTGGTCAACTTATCTCTCTCTAAACCCTCAGAAAGAAAACCTTCTTCTGACTGAAATTTGGGAATTATTACAAGCATTTTCTCCAATCCTAAACCTTTAAACAAGGCAAAACTCTTTTGGGTAATAACTACTGAGAGGCAGCCCGGTCCCAGTCACCACCGAGTTGCAGAGGAAACATTTCGTGAGAGCATTTATAAAAGAAAACCTACTCAAAATCAGCGCCTTCGTTAGGAAACGCGCGGTGAGGGACGAGAGGCAGCCAGCCGTGAAGGACAGGGAACTGAGAAGTCCCACCACAACCAGACACACAACCCAGATACAATCCCTCCTGGTCTTTTTAATCCCACCGACACATCATGAACTTGTTGTTTGAGGGTGAGCTCACGCCGCAGATCACAGGATAATGTAGAAATACCTGAGATGGCTTTAAACTACCCACGGAGGCACTCGCAGCTTAAATAAACTCAGGTAAACATGGCATTACTCTTTCCTCCTTCCATGTCGCCTCCTAGTCTTAAAAATCAGGATATATGGTGCAAGAGGGTAAGGTATTTTTAGTCTGGAGAAGGCTGAGGGGGGATCTGATCAACACCTAGAAATACTGAAAGGGTGGGTGTCAGGAGGATGGGGCCAATCTTTTCTCAGTGGTGCCCAGGGACAGGACAAGAGGAAATGGGCACAAACTTGAATATAAGAAGTTCCACCTAAACATGAGGAGGAACTTCTTCACTGTGAGGGTGGCAGAGCCCTGGAAGATGCTGCCCAGAGAGGTGGTGGAGTCTCTTCTCTGGAGACATTCAAACCCCACCTGGACACGTTCCTGTGGGACCTGCTCTGGGTGGCCCTGCTCTGGCAGGGGGTTGGACTGGATGATCTCCAGAGGTCCCTTCCAACCCCACATCATCCTGTGATTCTGTGATTTTACTCCGTTAAAAAGCAGCATGTGGGTGAGCTGGAATAACACCGATAATCCCGGTGGTTTTGGCCAAATGGTAGGAAATTACAGAATCAGAGGACCGGAAGAAACTTAAAGCCTCGAGGCAAAATCCAAGGATGCTGTTCCCTGCAGAAGTTCATACAGCTTCTTGTTAAAGATGCCCAGTGACAGAAAATCTCCAGCTTCCCAGGGGAATTGGGTTCATTCTTACTCTTGGGAGTATTTTTTCTCAGTGTCAGTGCAAAATCTCCCTCGTTGAAATTAAGGCCCTTCCTGATGTTCTGAATCTGGAGAACAAATAACCTTCCCCTTTCTCTTTCTGTATTTGAAAACTTGTGCCTTTTGGGGGTTTAAGCTCAGGTTATTAAGCAATCTCAACTTGTTGAATTTTCTGCAGCACATAAAGTGTTTTCTAGACCTCTCATTACTCTTGTGGCTCCTGTGGACTGTCTTCAGTTGACCCACACTTTTGCTGAAGTGCCATGTCCAGAACAGGACCTACGATGAAGCCCTACAACTGCTGAGTAAAGCAGAAAATTTACACTGCATATAGTACACTCTGATGGCATAGCCCAGAAAAACAGGGGAATTGGGTTCATTCTTACTCTTGGGAGTATTTTTTCTCAGTGTCAGTGCAAAATCTCCCTCGTTGAAATTAAGGCCCTTCCTGATGTTCTGAATCTGGAGAACAAATAACCTTCCCCTTTCTCTTTCTGTATTTGAAAACTTGTGCCTTTTGGGGGTTTAAGCTCAGGTTATGAAGCAATCTCAACTTGTTGAATTTTATTCAGCCTGTAAAGTGTTTTCTAGACCTCTCATTACTCTTGTGGCTCCTGTGGACTGTCTTCAGTTGATCCACACTTTTGCTGAAGTGCCATGTCCAGAACAGGACCTATGATGAAGCCTTAAAACTGCCGAGCAAAGCAGAAAATTTACACTGCACACAGTACACTCTGATGGCATAACCCAAAAAAACTGTGATTTTTTTTTAATTACATGACATCAGTGACTCTCACTCACCTCGTGCTCACTATGAACCCTAGACACAGCTCTGAAGAAGTCCTATCTAGCCAGCTGTCCCCTCCTTTTTCAAAAAACCTCTGACATTAAACTTGACTAATTTGAATAAATACCATTTGTTCATCCTGAACGTTCTGCTAAGATTCTTCCTCCGTATCTCCCGGTGGCCGCTGAATTTGAATCCTGTCCCCCAGTGTCTCTGCAGACACCCAAGTGTCACACGTCGCTTTACTCATTCTATGATTCTATGTGGGAGGTGTCCCTGCCCAAGGCAAGGGGTGGGAACTCAATCATCTTTGGGGTCCCTTCCAACCCCAACCATCCTATGACGCTGTGATTTACCAAGCAGATGCTGTTCTCTCGAACTGTGATTTTTTTTTAATTACATGACATCAGTGACTCTCACTCACCTCGTGCTCACTATGAACCCTAGACACAGCTCTGAAGAAGTCCTATCTAGCCAGCTGTCCCCTCCTTTTTCAAAAAACCTCTGACATTAAACTTGACTAATTTGAATAAATACCATTTGTTCATCCTGAATGTTCTGCTAAGACTCTTCCTCCGTATCTCCCGGTGGCCGCTGAATTTGAATCCTGTCCCCCAGTGTCTCTGCAGACACCCAAGTGTCACACGTCGCTTTACTCATTCTATGATTCTATGTGGGAGGTGTCCCTGCCCAAGGCAAGGGGTGGGAACTCAATCATCTTTGGGGTCCCTTCCAACCCCAACCATCCTATGACGCTGTGATTTACCAAGCAGATGCTGTTCTCTCGTGGGTCATTAAGGTTCACTAAAACTCTAGATGCTCCACAGACTCCTACAGCACCTCCCTTCTGACAGTGAATCCTTAAATAACTACTTTATGTGTAAGGATTTCCAAACAGCTTCCTACCCACCCACAGCACTTTCGACTTGACCATGCACCTCCGATCTGCTCGCAAAGATGCCACACGTAAGAGGGCCAAAAAAACCTTACTCAAACCAAGAGACATGGGCATATGCTGCTTTTCTTATGCCAAAAAGCCCACTTACCCTCTCGCAGAAGGAAAACAAGTTGGTGCCACATTCCCTGCTCTTGCCAAATCCCCCCTGCTGACCCCCTGCCTTCCAAGCACCTAACAAGCAGTTGGGTGGACAACAGCTCACTGACAGAAAAGGGAGAGACAGGAGGAATCAGATGAAGATGGCCTGGGTCCAGAGGAGGCCACAAAGATGCTCAGAGGGCTGGAGCACCTATCCTATGAAGACAGGTTGAGAGAGTTTGGGTTCTCCAGCCTGGAGAAGAGAAGGCTCCGGGGAAACCTTCGAGCCCCTTCCAGTCCCTAAAGGGGCTCCAGGAGAGATGGGGAGGGACTCT